CTCTCTCTCTCTCTCTCTCTCTTCCACACCCCCGCATCCGCCTCCAAGAAGCTAAGAAAGAAATCATTATTACGAAGGCATCCATCCAAAAACGCTCCCGCTGCATGTTGAAGTATGATGGAAAGAGACCCAGTGATAGGGTCTTTTGCTTTTCCCGGTTCTCCATAGAGACCCCAGTACACAATGCTTCGTTCCAAAATCAGTCTGAGTTAGTAGAAGCCGCTCTTCTCCCTTATATTGTAGCCCTAATTTCCCGCCATCAATGCGCTTTTCATGCCCTAACCCGGGCAGACTCTGCTCCTTTTCTGAATCAAGCCTCGTTGAGTGCAACAACTTTTCTCTCCCTTAGCGCTTATATAAGTTATAACCATATTATACCCAGGGGGAACCACATCCATAAATTAGCCAGCTTGAGGGCACTCCTGGGCCCTGGCTCCTCCTCCTTTCCACTACTCAACCCCACTCATGCCCTGTGAAGGCCGGCCAAGGCAGCCAGCCGGCGCTGCTTGCGAGCAGCAGCTCTACTGCCATCCGACCGTCAAGGTCTGGTGGCTGGTACCAAGTGTTCCCCGAGGCCGGTATTGCCAGTAACAGAGAATTTCTCAGCTCAGTTTGTCATTCTATGAGCCCAAAAGAGGTGAATTGGACCAATTTTGCAGTCCATATGCATCCGGTAGCTCCAGTTCAATCAATCAAGAGCTACAGGTTGCCCAGACAGATATAGTTTCTTCAGCTCAGTCTGTTTCTCTGAGCGTAAAACGGATGAATTGAACCTAACGGCAGTCCAAGTACATCCGGTACCCCTAGTTCAATCCAGGCCTGTAGCGGCCTAGCCGTTCGGTTCTATCTGCCTGCTATCACCTAGATTGGATGTACCAGACCAACTGGAAACAGGACTTAGCCAACAAAGCAGAGTCCTCATCTCTGTCTGTTAGTCCCCCGATGAAGCAGGCTGTATCGGACCTAACCGCAGTCCAGGTACACACCTAGATTGAACTAATCAGACCTCATTATCGTTCCATGCACGTCCACTGCCTCCTGTACTATCCTTGCTACTCACAGTTCAGCCCTAGCACGGACTCCCTCCGCCAAGACCTCAACTCATTTATTTTCAATTACCCTTCTCAGTCCGTCCATCTGAAATCCCAATATGGAATTTGCCCAAACCCTTGACTTCCCCTTCATCATCTGACCAAATATTTG